TGTGATCACTCAAGGCACCAGAGAATTGGTGACAGGCCTTTGGGATGGCACATATGGTTAGGACCCAGACACTGGGCAAATCAGTGTTGATGCTACCATGTTCCAGATCTGTGCCAGAGCCTGATGGCCAGCCAAGAAACTGGCACTAATCTGAGCATGGATGGGGGTGGCAGGTATACTGTAAAAAAAAGGACTCTTGGCACCCAGAGTGGATGGCACATGAGGCAGGAGAGCTGGGGAGGAAGTAGCTTCATTAGCAGATCCGAGTGGGTTACTGGGTTATCCTGATGTCTCATAATGACACCTCTACTCAGCACACACTTACTGAGCCTCCCATATGCCATGGTGGCCAGAGCCGGCAAAATAGGACCTCTGTCCTTAGGAGTGAGGCACATGTAACCCTGACTAGAAGGCAAGAGCCCACAACTTCCTGGGGGTTCTCACCCTCAGGACATCAGTGAGCTTGAGCAGACAATGCCCACACTCCAGAGCTGAGCTCCTCAAGTTCATTTGCTGACAGGAGTCTGGAAATCTGGCTTCAAGCCCACTTTGGCCAACTCACTTGCTGGAAGGTCTCAAACAAGATGAGTTCCTCTTCCTCTCTGCCCCTGGCTCCTCTCTGACCACATGGTTTCTAGGGGTTCATCCAGCTCACTGAGCTGTCTCACTGACCCTTTCCTTCACTCAGCAGGCTCTGCAGGAAACAACCATTGTCTTACCTGCCTCTTGGGAGAGATGGTGTTCTGGAAACACTGGCCCTCCTGCCACTTCTCCCTAACCCAAGAAAACTCCCAAGAATGAAAACAGGCAGTCAGCAGAGACTTTCCATGAGGACCTTGTTTAGGGTTATCAGGGGAAGACCGCAGGGTGCAGGACCCTCTGCCCAGGCCTAGGGCTGGCTGCCTCTGACCAGTGGCCTACAGAGTTCACTCGGAGAGGAGCAGTGAGAGGCCTGCAGGATAGGTGAAGAAGCCAGCCAAGCCAGCAGAGGCACAAATACAGGCCTCATTGTTTCCACAGCAGAACCACAGAGCAGGCAGGTGACCCCTGCCCAGAAAGAAAGGAAAACCCCAAGCCAGGCCTGCTTTCTCCTGCTCTCCTTTCCTCAGCGAGCACTTTTTAAAATACAATATAAGATTATAAAGAATGTTCCACAATATTCTCTACCCCAAACCCTAATGACTTAAAGCAAATATACACACAGAAAATGAAAATGAACAGAATGATAAAGAATGGAAAGTGCATTGCCCTCCACGAGAACAGCCAACTCCAGAGGAAAAGCTGTGGGCAGTACCTCCGATGCGTGAGTATACAAAGGAATGTCTGCAACCAGGGCCAGCAAACTTTTTCTATAAAGGGTCAGATAATATTGTGGGCTTCATACCTACGATGCAAGAGACCCTGGGGGTTTGACCCCCAGCACTAAAAAAAAAAAAAAAAAAAATGTAAAAATCATTCTTAGCTTCAGGCTAAAAAGTAGCACTACTAAAAAGTAGTGCTCGCAGTCTACACAAAAACAGGCAATGGTCAGCTCCTTCCTGCACCTTGCTTTCTTCCCTCTATCCTGAGGATGTTCTGTGTCACCATGAAGAGAACCAATGTTCTTCTAAACCACTGCCTAGTAACCCATCAAGAGGCTGCACTATAAGTGTACCATCTCTTTATTGCTGGACATTTGGGTTGCTTCCAGTTTTGTGTTGAAATGATAAACAAAACTATAACGAACATTCTTATACATACAATGAACTTTCATAATCACAGGATTTAATTCCATGGGTGAATTAAGGGCTGTGAGCCCTTACAATTTTCCATAGATTGACAAATAGTTCTCCAGAAAAGCAGAATTTACTTTGTACTGCATGAGGCCCTCTTTCCTCACCCTTGACAGCCCTAGACGTTTTAGAAATCCTTTTCTGAGTCCAAGCCCTACCAACTCCCTCAGTGGGAGATTTTCTCACCTTTACAAATCCCCTACTGGCTCTCAGCCCTGCTGACATCTGCCCTGAAAAGTGACTACGGTGTCTGTCTTCTCCCCAAAGTCTGAAGGGTATTGGGCCAGGCTGCTGGACAAAGGGCAGAAACTGAGCTGACAACCCAGATGCAACTGCTGCTTATTACATGACAGTTAAGGAACTGTAAAACCTGCATGGCTCATGGGCCTAGTACCTTCTCTTAGGCTACGTTGGTCCTCGTCCCTTTTGCCTTCACATCTAGAATTTTCTAAAGCCACTGCTAGAAGAGGCCCTGGAGATGGATCGTTTAAAAATCTACCTCCCCCTTCACTGAATGGGTAAGAAAACTGAAGCCAAAAAGAACAGCCTTGCTCAGAGTCCCAAAGTCAGGAATCCTCTATGTACGGCTGCCTCTCTTGAGGTATGGTTGTCCCACCTCCCCACTGTCTTGTTCCCCGAACTTCTTTGATGGCGGCTTCTCTCCCCAGCTGCTGGTGTCAGGTCTGTGGCTAAATCTTCCCCTCTCCAATGGCCCTCTTAACACACTAGTCTGGCTGTGGCGTGACAGCACAGCAGCCTCTTGGTCAGTGCTCCCGGGACCTCTGCACATACTGGTGGGACAAAAGTGGTTATGAGCCTGGTCTGCAGAATTGCCCAGCTCCCTGCAGTCCACTCCTGAGCTGCTCACTGGCCACTCAAAAGCTGCATGTCCTCAAAGGAGCTTGGGAAAGCCTTGTGCAAGTGTATCCCAGGCCCAGAAGGCAAAGAGCTGAGAGAGACTGCTCTAAGGGACAAAGACTGACTACCCCTGGGGGTGACCCAGAAAGGGGTAAAATAGAGCTCAGTACTATAAGGGAAGGGAGTGGGAGGAGTTCTGAGTGGGGCAGGGGCCACCACCTGGGACTAACACAGGCAATCCCGGATCACCCTTGGTTACTGACACCTCACAGAGCTCTACTGAGCAAAGCTAGGCTTGCTGAGCTGCCCTCCTGCTGGATGAGAAGATGGGAACCCTCACATGTGAGCAGGAGAGCTATGGTTCCATGGCTCTTCCCATGTGGCTGTCTTGCCAACCCCAAAGCCTCACACCATGTGGCTGGCCCAAATGTGACACAGGGGAGAGGAGGAGGTAGTGGACAGGGAACCCACAGCTAAGTGCTTCCAAGTGCCCAGCTCTGTGTCTAGCTGCTGGCACAAGATGACAAACTGTGTCATCTGTGTCTCCTGTCTCCAGCCAACATTTTATGGAGCCTGACAAGAGCCTGGGAGATGAACAGCAGTAATCATCCCTATTTTACAATGAGAAGGCAGGCAAAGTCAGGGGAGGCCTCTCGCCTAGCTCAGTGCCCTCTGGCTGCCTCCTTTGGGTTTCAACGCCAGCCAGAGAGAGAGAGCCAAGTCCTGTTCCAGACATAGCCTGGCCTCCCAGGGGCCCAGGCGCAAAGGCCTGGGGTGGGCAGAGAGCCTCCCTACTCCAGGCAGCCCTTTCTAAACACCCACACACACGAGTTGCGTGGGCTGGGAGGAAGCGGTGGGGTTGTGGTTCCCCTGTGCTCTGAAGCTGCCCATCTGTTTCCTGGGATGAGACTCCCCACCCCCACCCACCCATCCGGAAACTCTCTTGCTCTGGGGCTATGGGAAAAGGAACTGCATGGCTCCCTCCCTCCCATGCGGGTGGTGGTGGCAGAAGCACTGGCAACTCTAACCCCTTTCAGTCTTCCCACCCTTGAGGCTCTAACTGGCCAGTTCCTAACAACAGCTCTAGGCACACAGAGAACAGCTGGTCCCAGGTGGCACAAAGTGCAGTGCCCAGTCTCAGAGTAGATACAAGACTCTCTTCCCTTCCCCCTCCTGCCTGGCTGGCATCACTAGCTGGCAGCTTTGCTGCTTATTCCAGCCCGGGGGTGGGGTAGGTAAGGTGGTAACTTTCTATGTAGAAATTGTTAGAAAGTAAAAAAGTGAAACAGCCTTCCCAGCCCCTGGCTAGTGATTCCTCACATGGTCATCCATGAGAGAGCACTGCCCTCTGCTGGACATGTGCGATACAGTGCCTCAGCGGCCCGTGTTAGGTGTTAGGCAGGTGAGAACAAGGAAAATGTACAGCCTGAGCCCTAGTGACTTAACAATGTCCTCCCCCAAACCAGTGTTGGATGACACAGGCAGAGTCCAACTCAAGCTATGGTTCTACACCAAGAGAATTTAAAAGAAGGGAAATCAAAACCACACAAGCTGGGACAGGCAAGGATTTGAAAGGTGAAAAAGGGGAGGGGCACTGCAGGCTGGCACGGGCCTGCCCAAAGCAGTGGTCATCAGGTGAAGAATGGAGACAGCAGGAGATGACACAGACCCACAGAGTACTCTGGAGCCCAGACTAGCAAGAAAGGCTACCACAGGTTAGATCTCACATGGTTTAAGGCTTTGAAATTCTGCCACAGAATGCCAATATATAAAAACAATCAAAGATGAGGTGGCCTGGTGAAGAATACGGGGCTAGAGTCCCCTACCCCAATGCACAGTGGTGGCTTCTGGGGCATCTCTGAATGCCTGAGGGAGCAGAGTTTAAAACCAGAGCTGTGGGCAACAGGAGCCCCTGAGGTTTCAGTGTACTTGACTGACAGGACAAGCATGGTGTCAAACAATGAGGGAGAACAGAGCTGTAGTGTTTAGGGCAGAGAGAATGCAAGGCGGGGCTGAGAACCTGTTGTACATCTCCAGCCAGCACTCCTCCCATAGGACAACATGGACTCTCAGGGTTGGTGTTTGGGACCTAAACCCTCCAGGGAGTCCTCCCACATCTTCCCTCATGTTCAATCCACACCATCTAATCTAATCTCCAATCTAATCTAATCTAATCTGAACTCTAATCTAGCCTAGCTTCTACTTAGATTGTGTATTGGTCTATCTCCTATGCACCACACACCAACACACAGAGGACCTCCACAAACACAACTAAGGAAAAAGAAACCCAACATCCTGCAGAAATGTACTGGCCCCAGGAATGGTGACTGATGCAAGAGGCCGCCATGCTTGTCTAGAGAGAATACTCACCCCAGGAACATCCAAAAGCTTTGATATCAGAAGAGGCAACTTCAGGGCAGCAACACTTCCCGTGACACCCACGAGAACATGGAATTTTCTGGCCACCGAGAGTGTGGCAGCTGGAGATGAAGCCCTTGGTTCCATGTGTGGTCTAGTGGTTTCAAGTTCTGGGAGACTGTGAAGCCTGGGTTCCATAAGCTCTGTCAGGACTTAGGATCTAAAGCAGAACAAAGGGTACCCCCTTCATTCAGCTATTCATCCAAAAAGCGCACAGAGAGCATCACGTGGTAATTCTGAGCCAGATGCTGGGGTTGCCCAGGAGGTCAGCAGTGCCAGCTTGCAGGAGCACAGAGGGTGGTGAGAAAGTTAGGCCTCATCTCCACACAAACCAGTGGCAATGTATGTGGCAGGTACTGTAAAAACAGGTTGTACCAAGTGCTGTGGCTACCTAGTGACTGTTTCAGACCATGTCACAGAAAGGATGACACTCAGGATGAGTCCTGAAGTATGAGTAATTTTTCTAGACAGGAGGAAATGACTTTGAAAGGAGCAATCTTGCAAAGGTGAACAGGCCTGCAGAAGGGTGGTAGGTAGGTTTGGGAACCAGGAGTAGCTTAGTAGTGAGGCTCAAGTGTGGTGTGGGGGTTGGGAGGAGCAGGAGACACAGCTGCCAAATCAGGTCTTGACCAGAATGTCAAGGACAGTGAGAGGCAGGAGTTTTGATCTGAAAAAGGTAGTGCTGGTGCTGGTGCTGGACTGTGGTGCTGGAGCTACTGCAGAGGGCCAGGCTGACTGGTAGAGAAGTAGCAGGGGGCAACGGGGACTAAGGATGCTTGTGAGGTGGCCTGGGTGCTCCTGGGAACCAAGAGATTTGCCTCTCTGGTCATGTCCTCATTCCTGTAGATCAGGCTGAGCACAGACCTACAAATCAAAGCCCAGGAAGAAATAAATATAAGGCAGATGTAGGACATTTCTTCTTCTGGCTCGAATGTTGCTAGAAGTGAGTAGGTAGAGTACCGTGGCTGATGCACACACCAAAATCTACACTCTGACAGGTTGGGCCAGCAAACTCAGCCACGAACAGTGAGGACTGACCATCAAGCTCTGGGCAGAAGACCTGTGGAAGACATAGCCACTGCTGTCAGGGACACTACAGCATCCTGAATTTGAGGAGATAGGAGTCTTATCTAAAATCATTTAAGATATTTAAGATGGGCCCTTCTCTGGGATGTACCTTGTTGGTAATCACTGACTCAATTTGTACATCAGTTTCCTTCTAGCAAGCTCCCAGAATGTGTGACCAGACTAGTCCACTATCTGGCAGTCTGGAACATTGGCTGATTGATTAATAAGTTGAAGCCAGGCACCAGTGGCTCACGTCTGTAATCCTAGCTACTCAGGAAGCAGAGATCAGGAGAATCTCAGTTTGAAGCCAGCCCTGGCAAATAGTTCATGACTGGTGAAGCTGGTGGAGTGGCTCAAGGTGTAGGCCCTGAGTTCAAGCCTTAGTACCAAAAAAAGAAAAGAAAATATCCAACACATGACAGGGCTGGAGGCTCAAGTGGTAGAGTGCCTGCTTAGCAAGTGTGAGGGCTGGAGTTCAGAGCCCAGTACCATAAATACATACATACATACATACATACTGAAGCCTCTAGGGCACTGTGGGCAGAACATGCCTGTCCATGGTTGTACTTCTGACCTGACCTGCTGTGTGATGGGGGTACAGGGTCATTCCCTCCCTGAACCTCTTTCTTCATGTGAAAAATGCAGGGGTAGGACAAGCTGACCTCCCTTCAACAGAAACCTGAGTTAATGCATGACAGACAGCAGTAAGGAGTTCCTTGTACAAGACAGAAGGTCCTAGAAGATGCATTCACAAAAGGCACAATCAGCAGTGGGAGGGAAACCCAGCAGATGCTGAGGAAGAAGTGTTGGTGAGCCTCCCCTGGCTACCTACATGACTGGGGCCTCTACCCAGTGTTGGCTTTCAACACTTAGGCATATACATGAGCTCAGGGACATGTGTGGCTTATTGTCCCACTTCTACCTAGGAGGCTCTCCCAAGGCCCAGACTCTTCTCAGCAGGGGTGAAGCAGGCTGGAGCCCTTGAGCAAGATCTCCGAAGTTATATTTGCTGGCACTTTCAAGATCCCTTGGGCCTGCCAGACAGCTTCTTTCTGGAGCACACCATCAGGAGGTTGACAGGCACATTCTTGGTTTGCCAGCAAAACCAACCTGCCAGATCTCAAATCTTGACCCTATCCCCACCTCAGCCAACTGGTGCTAGGAGAAAGATGCTTGCCAGACCAGAAGCTCAATTTCATCTCTGCAGTCCTCGAACCACAGAATTCCTAGGGATCACCTTACAGAAACCAACCAGCTTAACTCAGGATGAAAATCTATACTGCTGACTTCAGCTGCTCCCTTACAGCAGGTAACATGGCCCAAAGTTCACCACTTAGCTGTCTGAGGAAGCTTTGCCAAGGACCACACCTACGGACCTTTGTAGAGAAAAAACTGTACATGTCTATGTGTGTGCATGATATACTTGAAGAACAGAACCTGGATCATTTAACCAACATTTAGAGGCAAAGTCAAATTGGTTGGACCTGAGAGTCCAAGGGAGCAAGACAGCTGGCAGGAGTTTTGTGTTTACTCTCAAAGATCAAATTCCAAACCAATTAAATCTGTTTCTCCAACCAGATCTTATTAAAGCCATCTTTTTTGCACAGCAAGGGTAGCTATAGGCAGTACCTCACTTCCTTGGCCTCTGCTGCACTCATAGGGACTCTTATTAATTCATTCATCAATTCATTCATTTATGTCAGTACTGGAGTTTGAACTCAGGGCCTTGAGCTTACTAGGAAGGCCCTCTACCACTTGGGCCATGTCTCCAACACTCTTAGGAACTCTTGAACAGCAGAAAGAATTGACAGAGAGGTGGGTTTTAAGGATGAAGTTCATGATTATGGAGCCTCCCTATCCCAGGGCACCAGTTACACAGGTAAGCCACAGTCAGGAAATGACAGTTTCTCTGCCCTTTAGAAAGACAGGGCCAGACTCCCTGTTTACATAATAAATATAACTTCCTAAATGAAAGCTCTTTCCATACACAGAAGTGGTTCATCTTTGTTTCTTCTTAGCTGGTTGACATATCCTCTGATGCTTTGGACCACAAACTTTCTAGAACATTTCCTTTGACAGTGGCAAGCACAAAGTCACCACTTCTACCACAGACCTTAGTTTTGAGGAGCAGAGCGAACACTATAGATCACTGTTTTCCCTGACCTACATATCATCTTTGTCCAGAGGGGGACATTATTACTTCCAATTCTACCCACACCCCCACTGACCTTCCCAAGAAGAAAAGACAATGAGGTTATTCTATTATGTGGTTCAGTTTGTTTCTTTTAAAACTACAGGGAGGCAAGCTTTAGTTATACTTAGCCATCCTTGGGCTACCAGTAAGTCAATCTTTCCACCCTTTATTACCAATACAATAGCTGTAGCTAAATAATAGCTTTAGAGTAGTCTTTATTGTAAGCCATTTCATAGATATGAAATCCTTTTTTTGTGTTTTTTCCATACTCTACATTATGACCACAGCAGAATTTACATTTGCTATTATATGTGCATTATAAAAAATAGAATTTACAACTTCTATTTTAAAAAGAAAAGAACTAACCAGGCACCAGTGGTTCACACCTGTAATCTTAGCTACTCAGGAAGCAGAGATCAGGAGGATTGTGGTTCAAAACCAGCCCCGGCAAATAGTTTGAGAGACCGCATCTCGAAAAACCCATCACAAAAATGGCCCATCACTGGTGGAATGGCTCAAGGTGTAGGCCCTAAATTCAAATTCAGCACCGCAAAAATGAATAAAGAAAAATAGCTGAGCCAGACAAAAAGGCCTTTGTCTGATGTCTAAGTGTGTGATGTCTAAGTGTTCTCCAAATAGTTTAATTAAGAGTTTACAAGTCAGGGTGTATGTTCAACCTAGTTCAGGAAAGAAGAGAATGATAAGGGACTGGGCCCTAATAAAATAAAATAGGGACTGACCAGAGAGAAGAAGGGATCAAAGGGAAAAACTTAAACAAGAAGAAAGGTATAAAAACAGGAACTTATAACCTATAAAGCATACAGTATCTAGGCCTGGAATCAATATAATTGTCGAACTGAACTTTGTGTTGTTCAACTGCAGACATGTCTGACCTTCCAACCTACACCCTGACCAGACAAAGAAATAAAATGTTCCCTGTCAAACATCCCCAGCCCAAAACCCTTACATGACATCCCCCAGACTTAGTACAAAAAGCCCACCAAGAACAGCCTAAGTCCGACTGTCACTCTCTTTAGGGTGCAGTTTTTCTCTCTCTCTCTCTCTCTCTCTGAGCCACATCTCCACCCTTCCTGCCCATTATCTAGCACCTGCTTTCAAATACTTCAAAGGACAGCAAAAACCTTTTTTTTGACACAATTTGCACCTTTTTTTTTTTGGCAGTACTGGGGTTTGAACTCAGAGCCTCGCATTTGCTAGGCAGGCACTCTACCACTTGAGCCACTCTTCCAGCCCCTCTTTTTGTGATTTTTTTTTCCCCCCACCCGGTAATAGGGTGTGAACTCATGGCCCACACCTCAAGCCACTCCACCAGCCCTTTTTTTGTGATGGCTTTTGTCGAGATAGATCTTGTGAACTATTTGCCTGGGCTGGCTTCGAACCTCAATCCTCCAGATCTCTGCCTCCCGAGTAGCGAGGATTACAGGCGTGAGCCACCCGCTCAGGGCCTGGCACTTGCTAGGCAGGCTCTTTTTTGCTCGAGCCACGCCTCCAGCGCTCAAAATTAATTTTCAAATACCCCTCGCCACTTTACAAATCCAACACCCCAGTCCTTTCCTTTTCTCTTACCACCTTTTATGATGCAGTTTGCACTTTGGGAAGCCCCTAGTCTTTTTTGGAAGCAGGCTCGTGATGCTGTTTCTTTTTTTCTTTCTTCTCCCCGCCCCCCCCTTTTTTTTTCTGCCGGTAGTGGGTGTTGAACTCAAGGCCTGACAGGCATTCCACCACGCTACTGTTTCTTAAAGGGAAGCGTTAAGTGCGGGCAGCTCATAGCGCCGCCTTTTGAACTCACTGCTCTAAGATCACCGTAAAGCAGCTCAAGGCCAGGGCGAGCGGGCAGAGATGCAGGTGCAAGTCCCCCACTCTGGGCTGGGAGGTGCCTACCGCTCCTGGAGGCCCTAACCGCACAGGTCTCACAGGCTGTGCGGACCAAACACACGCGCGCACGCACACGAGGACACAGAGGCGCCAACAGAACCTCTCCCGCCTCCCCCCACACCCCGTTTCCTAGCCCCGCCAGTGGCTCACCCGCGCTGGCGCGTCTCGCAGAGCCCCCAAATATCGCGGTATTTCGGTCGCTCTTCCCACTGATTTTGAATGGCACGCAGACTCATAAGAGCAACAGGAAGCTGCTTGGGCGCGCAGCCTTCTGGGAGCTGTAGTCCATTTCTCTGCCTTCTAGAAGGTGTGGTCACTGAAGGAGTCCTGGCATAAACCAGTGGCTCCCTTTGCTGTGGATGAGCTCCCGACCGGGCCTGGCGTAATTGTCCGACCTCCTTACTCCCTATCTCCCACAGACACACTGTTCAGAACTCAGGCATTTGCTGATGGAGTAGCCCAAGTGGTAGATTGCCTGCCTAGCAAGGGTGAGGCCCTCAGTTTAAAAAAAAAAAAAAATTCAGGCACTTAATACTGAGTATTCACCAAGCTTCTTGTTTTAGGTGTACAGGATACAGAGATAAATTAAAGGCAGCTCTGCTTTTGAGACAGAGACACAGAAAATTACAGAAGGCTCTGTGTGAGGAAGCTGAGGGGCTTAAGTAACACCTCCAGACAGGAAAGGCTTCTCAATGAAGCTATCACTTCAGATGAATCTTGAAGGATGACCAGGAATAGTGGGCCAAATGGCATCCCCAGTGGAGGGCACAGCACTGGCGAAGAGAATGCATGTTGTGTGCCCTTCCTTGCTTTCTTCCTTCTCCAGAATTCACAAGCTCCAGAACCTTTGTTCGTTGAGGCTGCTTAAGCACACGAGAACTGGGGAGGGGCCCCTGTGCTAGCCTCCGGCCCTGGCCCACAGTGAACCATGGGACCACACCACACCTATGCATGGACCCAACCTACTCCTGCTGCCTCCTCCTAACAGGCAGGAGGTCTCTGTGGCAACTTCATGACCTCCTGAAGCTGTCTCTGAGAAAGCCACGCAGAAGTCGCAGCAGTCCCACAAACACACCCAGCCCACAGTGAGGCTCCACATGAAAACACATGACACAGCAGAACAGGCAGGGCCAAATGTTTCCCTTTATTATGGTTCACTCAGTTACCACAGACAGACACATTGGCTCAGGCAGGTCAACTGCCAGCTAGAGAATGGTTTGTCTCCCAGAAATAAGGAGGGGCAGTGGGCACCAGGAGAATGCAAAAGCAGGTCACTGGCCGGCCGCAGACCTGAGGAGCCTCAAACTGACTGGGTCCTCCTCTACCCCACTCCCAAGCCAAACCACCCAGCAGAGATGAATCTGTGCCCAGTCCCCACTTCTCATCCTGGTTCTCTTCCCAGGAAAGTGCATAGTTGCCTGGAGATGCAGCATCCCAGGGCCTGAACAAGCTGGCCAATCACAGGTAACAGACCATTTCAAGGGTAGTGCCAGGCACAGCCGTACAGGTCTGAGCCAGGAAGGAGGAAATGTAAGTTAGACAGGTTAGCCTCAACTAGAGGTGGCACCTGACAGGTTATGGATGCTAGGCTGGCAGCTGGACCACAGCCCTCCTACGAGAGGGACTAAGAGAAAGGGAACCAGAGGCCTGGGGTCCAGGGGAGGGTAGGAGGACAACCTAAACCTAGGGTTTCTTCTTAGTTGTCTATAACAACTGCTCTCCAGAGAGAAAATGATAGAAAAGATGATCAATGACACTTTGTGGTCCAAGCTCAAGGGACCATTAAGAAAAGAACTACCCAGAAACCCCTGGCTCCTTTTATGGGGAAATGAAGTAACTGGAGGTCAAAGCTCAGGGAAACTTGAAAATGCAGGTACTGGTTCTAAGATGGAATTAGCCTGGAGTGGGGTCTAGTTTTTCAGTCTCCCTAACCCAAGTGGGCTTCTGTTGAAAGAAGGAAGGGTGGGAAACAGGCAGTTGCTCCTTAGGTGAGAATCCACCCTCTTCAGCTCCAGACCTCACATAGAAGTGGGGCCTTACCAGCAATTTCCACTGCTTGGAACAGAACAGCCCCACAGGTCTGAGATCACTCTCCTTAAAAGGGAAGGGGGTTCTGACAGAGTAAGTAAATGCCAAGAACCAAGGCTGGTAGGCAAAGGGAAGCAAGTTATCTTGATTTGAGGGAGGGAGACAGAGACAGAGACAGAGACAGAGAGAAAAGTAAGCTAAAAAAACCCCACTAAACTAAAAGCTGAAGCAGAACCCTCTCCTTCCTTCCTTGTGTAACCAGAAGTCTCATTCAGGCCATTGTGCTTGCAGCTCAGATTAGGCCTGGGTACTTCTTCCCAGAACTGCCTTTTGGTCAAGAGCAAGTGGGGCTGGGGAGATGAGCTTCCCAACACCACTGGGCCCTGTTTGCCTTCTCCTCTGACCTCCTCTCCAGGCCTGGCCCTTTAAGCCCCATCCTTTCTGCCAGACCCAAACAAAACTACTGCTCCCAGCAATCCAGTGTTTACTCAGAGGGCGGGGCCGGCCAGACCTCCCCCAGGAACCAATAATTATTTACATGCCCTCTGCTCCAGCTGTTCATTTACCTGACAACTACTTAGCATGACCCTGCTCCCCAGGGAAGGCAGTGGGGTCAGGATAGGAAAATCAAGCCACGGTGGTGGCTGCGTGTATGAGAAGAGGCAGAGTGGTGGGGGCAGGTCCTGGGAGGACAGGAGGGGAAGGGAGGAAGGGAAAAGAGAAGACATCTCTGCAGGGCAAGCTCTCAGAGCCAAGAAGGCCAACCCTACATTTCTGTTCCCTGGGAGTCAAGTGGGCTCTGCATCTCCAGCTGTGTGCCCCTCCCACATCAGGGCTAGCTTAGCTCGGTCTGCTTCCTTGAACTGGGAATCAGATCAGATTTGGGAAGCTGGGCTCAGTTTTGGAAGCAGATACAACTGGGACACTCAGCCTTGGGAAAAACAAAGAAAAGCCACACTAGGAAGAGATCCTGGGCAAGGGAAGAGAGCATAGGGAACGTGACAGCAGGGAGGAGACAAGGGAGGAGGCGGAGGGGAGGAGACCCAGATGGATGGAAAATCCCCTGCTGGTACCCACCCTCCCACCTACCACCATGAATGCTAAATACTGTTGCTTCCCAGTGGGACCAAAGGCAGAAACAGCTTCAGCTCATAACCCTGCAGAGGGCACCAGGCTCTCTGCTGTGCCTCCCCCTTCCCCATAAGGAGTCCCTGGGCAAGGGTCAGAGGGGGCAGCCTGGTGGAAGGTGGGGGGCTGGTTTAGTTCTAAACATACATCCAGCACCACGACAAGAGACCTCCACTGCACACTATTTCACAAAGGGACACAGACACAGCTACCAGCACATGGTACAGCTCCATGTGCAGCCCACGGCTCTCAGTGCTGAGAGCAGGGCCCAAAAGGTGGGGGCAGGGGACAGACATACACATACACATATACATATACATATACATATACATATACATATACATATACATATATAACTCTGATTCTTTGTACAAAGTGGGGAAGGAGAAAAGGGAAGGGGGAACCCTGCTTGGTCACCACAACAGACGATGTGGCTTGAGCCCCCTGTCCCACTGGCCCCCAGCCCTGCCTCCTGCTGGGCTTGGCTGGCTCACATCTCATTGGAGTATGTGTAGTTGGGGGTGGCGGAATACTGAGTCTGCGGCTGATTCATGGCACCCTGTGCCGCCCCCATGGCTGCATTCTGGGCTGCCTGCTGCACGTGCGGGTTCTTCCATGCTCCCGTGGTCCACTCCTCCTGAGCCTTGCTGAAACTCCCCCCACTACCCCGGTAGAATTTATGAACCTGTGCGAAGAGAAACATAAAGAAGAATTAGTCAAAGGGAAGAGGCAGACCAGACATGGCGGTACAGCCCTGTGGAAGTGGGCAGACTGTGAATTTGAGGCAAGCCTAGACCACATAGCAAAGGGGGGATGGGGAGGTGCCATCCAGGAAACAGATGGGATCAATCTGTAAAAAAGCAGCCCTCCCAAAAAAAAAAACAGAACAAAACAAAAAACAGCCTTCCCTCCCAACCCATGCATTGGGTTTACTAAGAAAGTCTGGCAGGCAACTCCAGAATGAGTAACTTGCAAGGACTCTGGATCCTGTTGTAACTTGGAAGAAAAATTGTTTCAGATCATAGTCCCTTCCCAAAGCCACCCTCTCGCCCTTGAGGCGGCCGCATACCATGCTGAGGGCGATGAAGGAAAAGACAGCCACAACTGTGAACATGACACTGGGAATGAGCATCACCACCGCGGAGCCGACATTCGTTCCGAAGAAGGAGATGGTAGCAATCCAGCCGCTGTAGGAAGAAGCCAGATCAGATTTGGAGCCACGCAGGCAGGAGGAGAGAACCTGGGAGCCACCCCACTGGAACAAGGAGCACCCTTTTGTCCCAGAGAGGAGCCGTATCACTAGATGCAGAGGGACCATTTTACCGATACGGTCAGTGGGAAGACAGTTTTCACATGGTTCAGGAGTATTTTCAGACAAGGTTTTGTCCTCAGGCTTTCCCACAATGCTTGGCTGCCCAGAAACCACTGCACAGTTCTCCTTCCCCTCTGATGCTATGGTGGTCACTACTTCACTGTCCAGAATCCTCTCTCTTCTAATAACCTTCCCAGGCCAGGCAGCTTAGTGCATGGAGCAAAGCAGAGGACACACCCAAAGTTCCATCCCTCCCAGCCCCAGGCCGGTCCCCTGTCTCTTACCAGACACCCCAGCCTGGGATGCCTACAGCCTGGATGATGCTGATGACCAGCTGGGCCATGAAGGTGAAGAAGAATGCCATGAAGCTGAAAGAGCTGTCAGTCCTGAAGCAGAGAAGATGGCTCCTGTCACCTGGAAGGTCACCCCTGGAGAGCTAGGGCTTCACTGCTCTCAAGGACCCCAAGCCCTTCTAGGTTTAAGTGAGTGTATAATGGACAAAAAACATTAAAAGTCCTTAATTGAGAGGCCAGAATGGCACAGTCTTTACCCATAGATCTTCAAAGGTTTCCATGAGTTAGGCCTGTGTACAACATCATAGAGGGAGGGCTCCCCTCATAAATGGACCACCCACTAACACAAAGGATAGATGGCCCCATTCTTGAAACAGAAACAAACAGCCCCATTATCGATGAGATAGACAGCCCACTGACACCAAAAACAGCTAGCTCCACCGGTCCTGAGACAGAAAATTCTAGAATTGGTACCTTATTGGCACCAAGATACTAGCTAATTGGCACATACATAGATGGCCCAATTGGCAAAGAGATTTGATTTGAGACCCCGTTAGCACTGAGATGGATACTCTGCTGGCAATAAGACAGCCTTGAGCAGGGTGCCAGTGCCTCGTGCCTGTAATCCTAGCTACTCAGGAGGCAGAGATCAGGAGGACTGCAGTTCAAAGCCAGCCCAGGTAAATAGTTTGTGAGACCCTATCTCACATCAGTACAAAAAGGGGCTTGCAGAGTGGCTCAAGTGGTGGAACACCAGCCTAGCAAGCATGAGGCCCTGAGTTCAAGCCCCAATACTGCCCAAAAAAAAAAAGGATTGAAAACCCCAGTTGGCACCAGATTGACACCAAGACAGTAGCCCCACTAATACGTGAATGGGTGTTCCCATTGCTACAGAGCTGGATGATGACTGGCACATGAATGTGTCAGTGGCTCATGGAAGGCTGGTTCCACTGACACACGGACAGATTGGTAGATGGTCTTCCTGGCGCCAAATCAGCTAGCCCCATGGTACAAGGATGGGCAGCTCTACCAAGACAGGTGGCCCCATAGGCAAAAGTTAACATGCAGCTTTCCAGAGAAGGGGATAGCAGAAGACAAAAATAGGCCCGGTCTTTATGTTGCCCCCACCCAAGAATATATCGAGAAGGGAAGAAACTAAGAGGAAGGTTTCAACTCCCAGCCCTCTCACTCCAGCTTGGAGTTCCCAGGAAGCCCAAGCCCTACCTGGCAGTCTGAGCCAAAGGTAAACTAGGGAAAGTAAGTTTGGGGAGAGAGAGACAGAGAGACACAGAGAGAGACAGAGAGACAGACAGAGAGAATATAGAGAAGAGACAGCTAGGAGCTGGGGTCAGTTGCAACCACTTACTTGAAGGCCTTGTAAATAGGCCGAAACCAGCAGACGTAGGAGCAGGGTGTAAAAAGGATGAGCCAGAGAAAGGCGAGGCCAAAGTTGGTGGCTCCCCCGCCTCCGATCAGCCACGCGAGACAGCCCACCAGGTTCACGGCCAGCGTGACGCTGTTCACTGCAGGCCCAGGAACACATACACATACAGAGACAGACACCAGATGTGCACAGACAGACAGCCCGTACAGATATACGTGAGCACCCAGACATGGACACACACCCAGAACTCAACTCAGACCCACAATCAAACACATGGCAATAGCACAGACAAGCAGAGATGTAGACACACATACATGGAAATATGCACACAAATGCAAACCACGTTTATAGATTCACACCCACACAGAAGACCCACACACCATATCAAGCCATATCAATGAATATGTACACACAGACACACAAGACACACACAAACACACAGAGTGAGTAGAGACTATTAAGAAAGAAAGCTGGGAATTCAAACCAAACCCCTCCCCACACCCACTCCTAGGGATCTGAGGAATTAGAACAAAGACTCCAGAGCAGGAACCAGAGCTTCTGCCCAGCAAGCTCCTTTTAAGAGCCCCAAAGCCTCAAGGTGGTAGAAACTCTTCTTCTTATAAGAAAGGCCTCTAGGCTGGGAACGTAGCTCAGTGGTAGAGCACAAACTTAGCATGAACTAGGCCCTTGATTCTATCCCCAGCACCACAGAATAGAAAGGGCTCAACTCCTGCCCCTCCCAGCAATCACCAAGCCCAAGACAGGACATCTGTCTTATACCATCTCTTAGAAGGTAGGGACATGAAAAGTAAAGCTGCTGTGACATCTACCCTACACTTCAATGGGGTAGACAGCAGTGGCTGGCAGCCCAGTCTTCAGTCTATTTCTTAGACAATGTCATTCCTCCTCCTCCTCCAAGAAGCTTTCCTTACCCGTCTTCCAATGCTCTGAACTCCTAAAGGCCTGGAATGCTCTCATGGTTCCCCAAATACAAATTCTGGTCCACCAACCACATGAGAAGCTCCCCAAAAGCAAGACCCAGGCTCCCCTTCCTCTGTTCCCACATCATCTAGCTGATTCTAGAAATGACAGTATCACCGAGTCACAGCCAGCAGGGGCCTAAAGACGCAGCTTGGCCTCAAACAGCCAGGCCTCTGTGGTCCTGTCTTCTGAATCTCAAGACTTAATTTCCTTGGGACCAAAGCACCTGGCAGGTGCCTGCTGAGGGCTTAGGGTGATATTTATAGCCCTTAAATCCAGCTTCTGGGTAAGACCTTCTCAGGGACAGGGTTCTGAAAGCCCAGGATCAAGGGCAGAGTGCTTCCCAAGTCTGTCACCTGTGCAGGTAAACCCACTTCAGGGCCCCCAGAACAAGCATGAACACTTCTTCCCATGTGTTTCAGCTGTATCTCTTTCATCTCTGTTCACTGTTCCCGAGTTTCCTGGAGTCTTGGTGTTCTTACTGATTTATTTGCTCTTTACGTAGAAAAGACACTAAGCCATTAGTATATTGGTTAACATCTCTCTCCCCAGTTGCACACCTCTCCAGCTCAGAGATCTGGTGTCCCTGCTGCAATCACTTTATTCCCTCTTTGGGAAGGACATCCATTGACTTGGTCACTCTTTCTCCAGACATCAGCTTTTCTATTTTCACTCCTGTCTTTGTCCAGTGTAGCATCCATAATTATTCATTACACTCATTTTCTTACTACCTCCTCTGCCCTGTCTTCTAGTCATATTTACCCTTCTGTACACAATTCCCATCTGTACCTGAGCTAAATGTCCACGGGGAAAAAGGACGCCAAAAAGACACCTGGCAGGACTATAAATTCATGGCAGCCAACCTCAAATAGACCCTAAGTATGGTCCAGAAGTCTTAGGGGCCAGGTTTCTTCAGGGAGTATCCTCATCCTCTGCCACAAAGAGCTCTCATTCTGGGTCCACCCTCCCCAAAGCTAACTCCCCAACTTCTACATCAAATTTGATGTGGAGAAAAAAAGTGGCAGCCACTAGAGGTACCCTCATTTGCTTCCCAACACCTACAGACCTACCACACCTGTCCATCTCCTCCTCTCATGATACATAGCAGGAGACACCTTCTCTGCCCAAAGGCCAAGCCAGGACCTAAAACTCAAGTCTGTATGCCTGACCCTCTGCTCTATCTAGCAGCCCATGGAGTGCCTCCTAGAAAGAGTATTAGACTCTTTTTTTCTGATAGTATTAGACTATCAGAAACACAGACCACAGAGCTACCTGGAACCAAGCAATCACCAAGCCAGAACTCTTTGTGCAACTAGGGAGCCTGCTGCTTGAGAAGTGGAATGACCAGACAAACGTGATCCCCTGTCTCCCAACTCCCAGCTGAATCCTCTTCTCTCTGGGCAATCTTCCAGAGAAAGCAAGAAACATGAGGTTTTGGGGAAGGAGTATCCTTTGATCCCAGCAACCAGAGGTCCTGGCAGTCACCAGAGGGTCCCTGGAAAACTACTCCAGTGGGGAAGGGAAGGGAAACAAAAAGATAAGAATTTTTACACTGGAAAAAGACCCCACCCCAGAGGCTCAGTGAATGAGAAGTGAAGCGGGGAGGGAAGGGAGGAAAGGCCTAGATGAGGGTACATTGAGGCCACCTGAGGAATTGGCTCATGAAAGGAGCCTGCTGGGAGCAAGGCAAGGAAAGACTTCCTAGTCCATGTAGATGCCACAGAGGGGCTAAAGGACAGCCAGGCCTGCAAGGACCCACCCTAATGCCTGACACCCCCCTCTTCCTCCTTCCCCCATCCCACCCCAACCCACTCCCATCCCCATAGCACTCACGCATCCAGAGGTAGTAGAGGCGCTTGGTCATGCTGAGATGCTGGGGAGGGATGTCTGCCTCGAAGTCTTGGTAGAAACATGGCTTCAGTGGGATGAATTTGGGCAGCGGTGGGAAGTTGTTCACTTTCTCTGTGGGGGAGGCATACCACTGGGCATCGACTCAGATATTCCCCTCCCCCATGGTCCAATATGCCCCTCCTCTTCCTGGCTGGGCTGCCCCCTTAGTCCCTGTGCCATGAGCTACTTCGCTATTCCCACCCAGCCATCCCACTTTCCCGGGTCTGCCACGATGACCCCAAAGTAACTAAAAACCCTGAGACAGTGCCCCTGAAAAGAACAAAACACAATAAAGGCTGTCCACCAGGGTGAGGCGCTTCCTCAGTGGGAAACAGGTCCAGGCAGGAGAAGTGGGATGGGTGAGAGTAGAGACATGGGTCCCAGGCTCCACACCAACCTTCATTCATCCCACTCACTACCCCTCTCCATCTGCAGTTATCCAGTGAGGTAGGGGCTAGGCCAGATGATCCCGCGAGCTCCCTCCAGCTTTGGCATTCTATACCTCTGAATCTTTAGAAACCAGGCAACTCAGAAACCAGAGTAAAAAGGTGACAGAGGAGAAGGGAGCTGGGGTGCTCATGCTGCTGAAGTGTCAGCTGCACAGTAAGACAGAGACATCAAGATGGTCCGTCCTGGTCCCCAGGCTCAGAGACCTTACAGATGGCTAGATGGTGCCATGTTGAGGTTCTCAGATAGGCCTTTGAAGGGAGAGCAGGGAACAGCTGGGGACAAGAGGACAGAAAGGGCATGACCCCCAAAGACTAGGTGAGAAAAGTGGACAAGGAAGAGGGTCACCCACCTTATGTTCACTCCATGTCCTGCTCTCATAGCCCAGCCCTCTCCTTACCTGCCATGACTGCACCAGCGGCCCAGCGGTCTGCCCACGCCTTTGTCCCGAACTGGAAGGAAAAAAAAAGCCAAATAAGGATACAGGTCAGAGCATCATCCAACTCCATCACTCTCTCCACCCTAGCTGGGCTGTAAGCTTGCTGGGGCAGGACCTGGCTCACACTTGCAATAGGATGAACCCACCCGAGCAGCTCCCCACAACACAAAGCCATGACTCCACAGGCCACTCCTTCCAGATACTCCCACAATTTGCATAAAGGCAATGTCTATCCTCAGAAAACTCCATCCAAAATGGGAAAGAAACCTGAGGAGGGGGGGGACCCCTTAGGGTGAAAGCCAAGTGGCAGAGAAGGCTAGAGACCAAGGGACCAGAGACCTCTGAAAGAGAAAAGTCTGTTCCTTGACCCTGCACACAGGCAGGGCTGTCCTCCTTCTGCCTTTTGCCTTCGGCCATTTATTCACTCATTGGGACTTCCTCTTATCTGCCAGGCATGGGGAGAGAGCACAATAAGACAGATGTGGCTCTTGCCCTCGCATGAAACAGCCCACAGCCCCTGCAGTAAATCTTACCAAAAAAGAAGCAGGACTGCTCTGAAAACATGCACAGGAGCCATCATCACAGTGGCCCAGCCTGGTCTAGAGTCAGGGAAATGAAATGCAGGCAGTAAGTAAGGACCTGAAAGATGAAAAGGAGTTTGGGGCAGAGCAGCCTTCAGGTCAGATAGAGGGGAAAACTTCACAGACCCTCACCTGCAGGAAGGACCTTCACACTTATAAGAGAAAGAAAACCACTGTGGCCAAAACAGAGTGCAAATGGGCAGGCAGCAGGTGAGACTGGAGTTCAGATGGGTAGGGGGTGACTTTTTTTTTTTTTTTTTAGTGATATTGGGGTTTGAACTCAGGGCCTCATACTTGCTAAGCAGGTGCTCTACCACTTGAGCCATTCCACCAGCCCTTTTTTGTGATGGGTTTTTTGGAGATAGGGTCTTGAGACTTATTTGCCCAGGGCTGGCTTCAAACCACCATCCTCCTGATCTCTGCCTCCTGAGTAGCTAGGATTACAAGCTTGAAACCCGAGTGCCCTACAGGGGGTGACCTTGGAGACACTAGGAAGGCAAGTTGGAAGGGGCCTTGAGGTGGATTTGGCAAGCAAGGGGAGAGAAGACTCCTACTTCTTAAATCACTGAACACATAGATGATGGCGCCCTGAATCAAAAGCATGTGTGAGGGTTGGCAAGAGGCTCCAGCGGTAGAGCACCTGCCTAGCAAACATGAGTCCCTGAGTTTAAATCCCAGTACCACAAAAAAAAAAAAAAAAAATCCACAAGCAAGTGCTAAGGCAATGTCACACTTCTAAGTTTGGCTGAGATTTATCTGAAGTTTAAAAACCACAGCCTTATTTATGATGGTAGAAGTGAGGACATAATTGTCAGGGAGGGATAGTGACTGACAACCACAAGCATCTGGCTGCTGGTAATGGCTGTGCCTACCCTGAGTATGAATTTAGTAAAGATTCGCCAAGCACACAGCTATGATTTTGTGTGCCTTCCTGCATTTTATTCAAGTTGAATCTCCCTTATGCAAAATGCCTAGGACCAAGGGTATTTCAGATTCCAGAGTTCAGATTTTGTAACATTTGAATAATTTTATAAGTTGAGCATCTCTAACCTGAAAATCTGAAATACAAGATGCTCTGAAATCTGTCAGATTTCAGGCTATTTGCTTTTTCAAATTAGGGATGCTCAGGCTAGAAGTGTGGCTCAAGTGGTAAAGCACTGGTCTAGCAAGTGTGAGGTGTCCCAGCACTGTCAAAAGAAAAAGGGTGCCATGGCTCACACCTGTAATCCTAGCTATTTGGGAGACTGAGATTGAGAGGATAGAGGTTTAAGGCCAGCCCTGGGCAAAAAGTTCTGGAAACCCCCATCTCCAAAATAACTCAAGACAAAATGGATTGGAGGTGTGGCTCAAGTGGTAGAGTGACTGCTTTACAAGCACAAAGCCCTGAGTTCAAACTCTAGTCCCACTAAAAGAAAAAGGGTGTTCAATCTGTGTTTCAACTAAAGTTTGCTTTCTATAAAACAATTATGCAAACTTCTCCTAGCACCTGAGTCAAATTCCTCTGATCCAATTAAAAGTCTGAGCATTTGCAATTTCTTGTGGCCCTTTTGTGATATGGAATTAAATACAGATATAAAAAACCGGTAACATAAGAAAAAAGACAAGCATGATAAGAGAAGTGAATGAAATGATACCCACACAAGACATACTAATTACAGCACTGTCTGAAAGAACAAAAGACTAGCAACAATCTACCTGCCCATCAAAAAGAGACTGATTAAGTAAATGACAGTCATACAATGGACTGTTCCACAGCTATTTCTAAAAATGTTCTGCAGCTGTTAAAATTTTTTAAATGAGAAAGAGTTTCTCCAGGTGTGGTGATGCATGCCTATCGTTCCAACTACTGGCCGGGTAAGGCAGAGGACTGCCAAGTTTGAAGTGAGCTTGGGAAATTTAACAAGACTCAGTCTCAAAATGTAATTTTTTTTTTTTTCGGTGGTACTGAGGTTTGAACTCAGGGCCTCACGCTTGCTAGGCAGGTGCTCTACCACTTAAGTCATTCCACCTGCCATCAAGGTATAAATTTTAAAAAGCACTCAGTAGTACAGCGCTTGCCTAACACAGACAAGGCCCTGGGTTCAACCTCTACTACTGCAAAAAATAAATTAACTTTTTTTATGATCACTGGTGGATGAAAAGCAAGATGTAGAACATTCTATAGAGTGTGTTACCTTTTGTATTAAAACCAAAAAAATTAGGGGGCTGGAGATATAGCCCTGGTTTTAATCCTCAGCAAAAAGAGGAGAAAGTATGAGAGAATATTTTCTTTTTCCTTTTGACCCAACAAATATTTCTTCTATTTACCCATAAATCAGAAACAACAAATAAAAATTATTCGTGACCCTATGTGCAATAACAAGATACTGAAAACAGCCTTGATGTGACTATCTGAATAAGTCAGTTACATCGTACAATGGAGTATTACATAAATGTAAAAGTGAATGAAGATGAGCTCTATGAACTGTAATGGAATGATTTCCAGGGCATATTAAATTAAAAAGAATAAAAGAATATAAATAGCATGTACCCTTTATGTAAGAAAGAAGGGGGAAGTAAGAGCATGCAGAATTTGCTTAGTTTCACAAAACAAATACAGGAAGAACATACCAGAAACTAATCAAAGAGTCTCCTTTGTGAAGGGCTAGGATATTTAGCGAGGATTCTCTGGTTAAAGCTGCTTATACACTTCTATTCAGATAATGACTTACATATCCAAAAACTTAAACCAAAAAGAAAAGTAAATTGGGCTAAGGGTTTAGCTCAGTGGTAGAACACTTGCCTAACATGTGCAAGGCCCTGGAGTTTGATCCTCAGCAATGAAGAAGGAGAAATGAAAACAACAACAACAAAAAAAAGCAAACTCTAAAAGTGAAACAAACAGAAACAACTGCTGACTGTACATTAAATTGATAGAAAAAGCAATTAGCCCAAATAATGCTGGATCCACGGTATGTGTCCTCTTAGGAAGATAAGCCTTAAGGACAGAAACAAGTGAGAAGACATCTTGAATTTTAGCAAGCTCGCTGTGACTAGTGGAACTGCTGTGATGATATGAAACTTTTCCAGGATGCTACAAGAGCACAGATGAGTGATCGTGATGATGCTGGGGCCTGGGTGCTGCCTGTTGGGGTAAGGAGACAGAATGTGGAATATGGGAAGGAAAGAAAGAATCCTGCACTTGAACTTGGAGTCATCACTTTTAAAAATACGTGACAGCAGATTCAGGCAAGGGACGTCAACGGCTGTTAAAACCACTGGGTGAAAGAAGATTAAGGAAGAGGGAGCCAAAAGTCTTAAAGATCCAGCCATAAGACAACTTTTTTTTTTATTTATTACGAAAGAAAAAGGCACTTTTTTTATGGAGAAAGCTAGCAGATGCCACTTCAGCCAAGTGATCAAATGAAACCCCGCCAATGTCAATGACAAAGTGACAGTATGACACACCAAGGAAGGTCCATCACCTATATAGTATTCCTGGCGAAAAAGGTTGAATCTGAATGTAACCATGAGAAATAATCAGACAAATTCAAGTTGTGAAGCACTGTATAAGGTGGTTT